ATAACCTACCCCCATTCTAAAAATACACTAAATATCAAAATAATATAAATTTAAAAATTATTTCTTCCAAATTAAGTGACAAGTAATCTTTTTATCCCGATTCTCTGATTTCAGACAGCTTGCCAAAAGAATTTAAATTTTTTTTAATTTTGATATGATGTAGTTATATGAAACCGTTATTGCTATGTAAACTGTTTACTCATATATGAGAAATATTAAGCTTCGAGAATTGTCGATGATCCCACGCTTACGAGAGGTATCGAACCTTTAAGTCTTAGGAGAGATTTTGCCTCACTCTGCGTATTCTACCGCTTGTACAACGGATTGTGCTCAGAGGAATAGTTCAATATGATGCCCTATGATGGGGTTCTTTAAAAAGGGGGTAAAGGGGTTTCTTAAGGGTCGGTAATGCGCACGTAATACCACTGGTATTGGTGGCGTTCATAATACGGTAACCGCTTGTTTGCCACCTCAGTGATATAAAAAATATATTACAGACTAGTATTGGTATTATAGAATAAATCTTAGTGGTTTAAATAGTATTATTAAATACTGTATTTTTCTGTATTGTGTAATATTATAATACAGCAAAAGTATACAGTAAGTCCTAAATTTCTAATATTTTGACTAAGTGTAAAGAGGAGTTTGCTAGCAATATTTATTTTTATACAACTTAGAATGGCAAACAAGCTGACGTTCCACCTGATGGAAAGTGGTAACCGTCGCCTTTAGACATGAGCAGTACCATGGACATAACAGAGTATACTGTTTCGTCCATGATACCCCCCATGCGTTGCCATTCCTGAGGACTCAGGTGTTATTCCTCTATACCCTGTAAATTCACCATATCCCACTCTTCAAACCGAAACACATCCATGCAACACAACTGCTTCACGGTTAAAACACGAATGGGACAGAGGTACCCAAGCAATCGACTTTTGTACAAAATCTCCTTCTGGTTTTCCGCCAGTCTCCACCATTATACAGTATCAGAATACAGTCAGAAAATGCATCCGTCTGATACATTAAAGAGTTCTAGGTGATAATTGAGACAACACTCAGTCTGAGCTACGAGTAATATTATATTAAGGATTCACTATTGATTTTTAGTAATTATAATGGATGTTATAACGAAATTCTATTTTGTTTATAGATGAACGTAACTAGAATCTACTATATCACAAGTAAACTAATAAAGTACTAAAATTACAACCTATTACTCAAGTAATCGGTTTAACATTATCAATATTATATCACATCAATATTAACACAGTGTTCCTAGTTAGTTTGCGTATTACTTAGTTTAATTAATCTTGATTATCCATTATCGTCTCTATTAACGATATTAATGGACATCGAATTTAATAATAATTACTGGATTAATCATTTATTTTTTTATTATTTTCCTATTTATTGCATGTTTGTGCTAATATTATGATAAAGAGGGAAGATTTTAGTGTTTATTTATGTTAGATAAACTCAAAAAATAATCTATCAATTTTTAAAATTCTATCACACAAGTGAAAGAATTGTAGGTGTACATTTACACATTACCAACAAGTAATATAGGCAATATATTTTCAAAAATTCTGTCTCTTTTAAGCCGGAGCGAATCACTAAAATTGTAATTAAACGATATATATGTGTAAGAGATATTAAAAAAAAAATTAATTTATTAATATGAGGGATCTTAATAAGAGGAATACGAGCCAAAACAATATATATATTTAATTATTATCTGTTTACTTGATTAATGAAAATCTCTTATGTTCTTGAAAGTTGAACTTAAAATTTGATATATGTATTATCTTAATACGCTATTTCTAAGTAATCTTATTGGATATATATTTTACTTAAAAAATTCACGAGTACAACGTTAAGAGCAAAAGCTATATTATAATATTAGTAAGGACTGTACGAGTACAAACTCTAAGTCTGGTATTTCGTATTTAACAACATTATCATAGGGCAGTAAGCATTAAAAGTGAAGGTCATATAAGTTATCGATTGAACAAATACATAATATTTAAATCTTGTATATTCTTAGAACTTGATATAAATCATTTAAATGATGGAATAATAACTTCGATATTACATAGATAATATACTCTGATTGACGGATTGCAATTAATATATTTTGTGTAGTTTAATTAGATTTTAAATAATTATAAATACTGATTATTTAATTGTATTATACTAGCTACCTGTTCTGCAGGTATGTATTGTTTTTTTTTACTTTTTCGTACAAATTTTCGAACATTGTCTTTTATACAAAAACTTGTTTTTATAGTTACAAATACAACAAGAAATGAGTTAATCAAATACGAATAAGTGCATTATGAAGTGATGCGCATACATACATTCTGATTTACCTACTGCAATTGATTTTCATTTAAATAGATAAATTGGTGACGCACAGAGTGATTTCTGTTGCAATGACTTATTTTTAAATGACTTCTAATAGGAAGAGTTCTCAATTGGTCCGAATTTTTTAGCTATATGACAGAATTACATTGCCAAACCGTAATCGAATCTGTTATTATTATATTATTTAGCAGAACAGAACCCATAGTGTCTTTTAATATAAGACTAGTTTTTCTCCCGCTTCTTCGTACGCGTGGTTTTCAGAGGCTTGAAAGGAAATGGAATTGATCACTTCTAGATGGCCTATTAAAATTAAACATATAACGGTTTCTAAATTCATTCATTTATATTGATATCGGCCGTTAACTGCCATTGTTAAACATAGGCCTCTCCTAAAAGTGCGATCATGTCAGTAGTTGCCACACTTGATAGGCGAGATTGCAACCGTAGTTAAGGTTTGGTGACGTTTTAAGAAGGGCGCTGCTGATCATCCCTCTACCATTAAGATTCCTTGATCTTATGGCACCCATGATAAAAAGAAGCTAAAACAATAATTTTGTCTATCTGTCTGTATGCATACATATTTGTTCCGGAATTTTATAAAAAAATACTACACAGTTGTATTTCTGAAGGTTTTTTGAAACTTTGAAATTTTGTACATACTTTATTTTGATATGCCATCTAGAATTGATGTATTTCTTAAAACTTTTGATTTCTGAAAACCACGCGTACGAACAACTACTTCATAATATTAGTACAGATTAAGTATGCGATAATAAACGGAGCTTGAGAATTTAAATGACAACATAAATGCATTTAACGTATGTTTATGAAAATCCCATTTGTGCAAGTTCAAAAATGTCAAATGTTCACGAACAACTTCCTTCCTTTATAGTAGGAAACGTCGACGTTTATAATAGGCTAAAGCGCACATTTTGCTCTGAAAATACTTTGGTGTTCACTCATGCGTGATTTCAACTACCGATGGAAATTGTATTATATAATATTTGCTCTATTAATAGAATTTAGTGGATGAAATTATCGGATGACTCGAAAGCGTTATGTTACTACTACAGGATTACTCGTGTTGTAATAGTTATATTCGTACCGAGCTAAAACTAAATAATGGCATTATTGAAACATAATAACTTGCCTTAAGAAGCACTTATTAAAATAATTGTTATTTACAGATTTTTTTCCATAAATTATTATAATAAATATCCGATTTTGCTGTTAAAGGTAGGTTTAGGTTTTTCAAAGGTTTATTTAATTCTTTTTTCCTGAATTAGAAGAATTGAATGATATATATATATATATATATATATATATATATATATATATATATGTGTGTGTGTGTGTGTGTGTCATGCCTGTCTTTCATTAGGATAGGCAGAAACATTGTTAAAAATTTCTTAAAATAAATACTTTCATATTGTGAATTTAGTGAAAAAGAAAAATACTAAATACTTTAATAGTTAAAATAGGCTTACAAGACATTTGATATTAAGGGGTTTAGTTTTCTTTAATCTCTAAGATTTATAAAAAAGTAAAGAAAGATTAAATTAACGTTTTATATTAAAAAAAAATTGAATAAATGTGATATTCTCGAATTGTCGTTACATCGGCAGTCTAGATCAGAGTATATATCTTTCTGAATATGTTCTCTACCAGCCACTGCGCTAGCTTTATTTCCTGTGACATCTGCGGATTAATATCTACTGGTACAGCGACTTACATATTAAAGTTTTGAAAGTTCTAGTATTTTTTTTTATTCTAGGACAACATGTGTATAACACGTCCACACTATGCTGAGTGAATTAAAAAATAACATAGTTCACGAATGCGATTAATTAAAAATTAATGTTGAACTATCAATGGTTGGCCGCACTATATCGGCTCATTAAATGCTTTCTTATACTACGTTCGGACAATTAAATTAAAATTTTAAACGAAGAAAAACACATATATGTTATGATATTTTAAAAATAAACTTAAATTTAACTCATTAACAAAATAGTGTTCTCATTTGCTACTTATTTGTGCATAATGAAATGGTAAACAAGCTGAGTGAACTGTCACTATCACCTGGGAATACCATAGTTGAATAGCCAGTGTACCTCGCAGGATGTACAGTGCCGCTCGTGATACTTCTCGTGTATATCACGAGCATCAATGCTGTTGGTAACATCAACCATTCTATTCATGTCCATAGACGACGTTTACTTTAAATAGTTCGACCGTCAGCTTGTCATCATTATAAGTTTTTTTTTATATCACAAAGATAGTAAACAAGCATACAGCCTGTCCGATGCTAAGCGGTCACTTTAGTCTATGTACATCTTTAACGCTATGGGTGTCATGTGCGCATTGCTGACTCTGAAGAACCCTTAATATACTCTTTTTGAAGAACTCATACTGTAGTCTCTAGAAAAAATCTCGATAGGGAGCTCATTTCATAGACTAAGCGTTCGAGGCAGAAAATAAATTTATAATAAAAAACAATGAATAAAAAAAAGTGGAGCATAAACATGAAAACGTATCGAGGAGTATTCAACAAAGAATTTGTTTAAACCAACAAGCAGAGGAAAGCAAAATAATATATATAGAATACTTTACATAATACAAATAATACATACCCGCATCTTTTTCCCGAGTTGCAGTATTAAATTTCCAGACATGTCAATATCCGTCAATGATGTTTCGGTATTTGTTTCCGGACATTCATCATTATTATATATAAGAGTTACTATATCTTTATCTACATGCAATAAAATATTTGCATCATTATTGCTGAAGTCAGTATCAATTAATATGTCTGTCTTTTTGTTCATTATCGTCAAATCTATATTCATAGTAGTAGGAGACGATCTTCGCATACACAGTTTCAATACTGCATGATGTTTCTCTTTTTGTATGGAAAAAAGACAAAACGGGTCATAGAAATCAGAACTGAACGTAGAAGTTATTGTAAATGGAAGGGATAATTTGTCGTGCTCGAAGTAATTATGATCCAACGGCACGTGGGCAGAGTTGGTAGATTTGTCGAATTTCAATATATTGGTGTGAAGTTTTCTTTTGTAAAAGTCCACAATATCGTAGTTATCTGAAACAAATAAATATAGGTTTCTATAGCGTATTATATTAATAAGGTTTCTGTAGGGTTGGTGGAATTACGTTTCAAACCAGTATCGATACTGCTTTGAAACTCATATGCAATACATGAATGAAAATAGAGTAAAATAAAAATATAACTAACAAAAATATAATTTACAATTTTTGATATAGAATATATATTTGAAAAAATAAAACAATAATGAAGTAATAAATATATGTAAACTACAGTGTCAGTGAGAGCAGTATATTGTTAAATTCTGTCTAATAAATAAAAAACTGAATAACATTTTTCAAGGGTCATTTTTTATTTTGACTCCAAAAGCTTAGAATTACATGATTTAGTAATACGTGTCTGATTTAATAAGAAGCTTTAAAAAAAGAAATGAATCTCAGAAACAGTTTAATTTGTTCAGTTATTTCATCGATAGAGAAACTGATCATCATAATATTTGCTTTTGCAGCTGTTCGAAATTTTGCATTATAGATTTTTTTATGCAACTTAGAATAGCAAACTAGCTGACGGCCCACCGGATGAGAACTGGTAAACGTTACTTATAGACATGAGCAGTATCATGGACATAACAGAGTATACCGTTTCGCCCATGATACCCCCCATGCATTGCCGTTTTTAAGCACTAAGGTATTATGTCTATGTACCCTGTAAATTCACTGCCATATTCTTATCCTTCATACCGAAACACAGCCATGCAAACATAACTGCTTCACAGTTGAAACATGAATAGGACAGAGGTACCCAAGCAAACAATTTTTGTACAGTCTCCCTCTGGTAAATATTTACATTTTACGGATGACTATTTTCATAAATGTTTTCAATGCACCTATAAACTTCGCTTTTGTTTTACAACACATAGTTAATCAAAATGAAATAATAAAGACAGCTTCAATTTTTATTTTTAGGGAAACATCGAGTTTGGAGAAATGGTACGATAATAAAAGTATTCATAGGAGAAACTCCCCTGAGTAACTTAATCGGTATTGTCTAAATAACGCCCACCTAAATTAAACCTACCGAGAAATAAAACAAGCTTTATTTTTAAAGCATAAACATCTCCATTAACACGAATTTCTTATCTATCACTATTTGTCAAAGTGGAGGCAAACAAATTGCTGAATTAGTAGCGCCCTATTCACCTACCGAGGATCGTTTAAACAACGCGTTCAGACGGCAAGTAACTTTAATGCTTACTATGTAGTTATTATTAATGTATAATTTAAGATTGTGTGCCAGAAAAAATCTATTTCAATTGTAGCAATACCAATTATTTTGATTTATTAACTAAATTGCTGAAACGATGTTAATAGAATTGCAATCGGTAAGTATATCTTTCAGATAAAAAAATATTGTTTAAATCGGTTTATGATTGACGGAGTTCAACATAAAAAAAATAGAACCGAATTCAGAACTTCTTTCTTTTTGAAATCGATTGAAAAGTGAACTTGTTTGTTCATTTATTGCCTCTTAACGTCTTAACGCATGAACTATTTGGAATAAAGAAGAACATAGTTTACTTCCTATTGAAGCCAATCAATGTATTCTGTCTACGCTCTAGTAAAAGTTAGTTTATAATAAATGACAATTAAGATTTAATTAAAAAAATTATTAAAAAATTACCTCATTTCAAATATCTATGTTATTTTCATAAGGATATCTTTTGCATGACAAATTCAAGTGATACTCGTATGTCCAAAACAATAAACAGTCGGACTACAAGCCGCTGTATTTTTTTCTAAATTAGTTTTTTTCTGTTTACTATTAAAACATTATTAAAGATAAAAATATCTATTTTTTTTTATTATAATGTAATTATTTAATTAAATCCATTATATCTTTCAAAAAATTATCTATTTTTATGGATGGAAATGGAATGGCAACCATGCCTATGCTAACGGTACACGCTGGTGGTTCACCAATGCGAGATGATAGGTGAGGATGAAAGTAGGTTAGTTGACCCAACATGACGAATTCGACAAGAATTAACAATGATAATTTCCAAGGGAAACTACGTATAGGTGGACCTGATAGGATGAGTTTTATTTTTTATCCGTAATGCAAATTCTATAATTACGAAGCCTTCTCATATGATTATTTAATATTGGCTTATATCCGCGACTTGTTTGCGTAACTGGGATATGGTCATTGACCGGGATTAGCCGTTGTTCTTCATCCCGTATGGTACCTGTATACTAAATTTCACAGTAATTGTTTAAGCTTTTAAGTGTCAAAATGCAACAAACAAACAAACTCAATTTCACATTTATAATATTAGTAAGGATACCAGAACAGTATAAGTAATAGTATCATCATATCAGCTCTTAACTGTCCACTGCTGAACATAAGCCTCCCCCTTGGGGGGTTTTGCCGGTAGCAGGCGGATTGGCAATCGCAATTAGGCTTTGGAGATGTTTTAATAGTAACGCTGCTGCTCATCCCTCGAAAGGAAAGGGTGGCCTTTTCTATGCTGGAATGTGGTCCTGGCATAGTAGTACCATTATAATTATAATAAAGTACCAGGGAAAACAGTTGCTAAATATAGTTACAAACATGATGAAAAATCATTACAAAACGAGAATATCAAAAATAGTGCATAATAAAAAGGTCAATCACCACAGCTGGCAGCAGCAATATTTATAAACATTGTAATGTAAAATTAGTTGCGTTAAAAGTAACATGAAAGATAAACATTTTTTGCGCCGAATAGCTACCATATTTTTTTTCTTTTCTCTTCCACCCCAAGGTTGTCTGGAAAAGATTGCTTTAGTGATAAGACCGCGTTTTGTACTTCATATACTCGTATATGGTATATAAATATATTAAGAGTTTTTTGAAATATATATATATATATATATTATACTAAAAATAACAAACTTATAATAGACATTTAGACTATAAGTGTAAAGTCATTAATCAGCTTACATAGCTATAAATAAACAAGAATATTTTTTATAAGCTACTCGTAATAAGACAGATAAGCACGTTCACCATATATAAATATACAAATACACAAATTAAAAATAACCAACTTACAATTCTAAGTATTTAGACTGTTTAGTACATTAATGATAAGAAATTCATTAGTTACGTAACTAAAACTATTTTTGTTAATAGATAATAATACAGATATGTAAGCGTGTTAAACAATTATGTAACAGATTTTTGATATACATAAATTAGTTATCAGTATTTACACATACAATTATCATTAAAGTTAAAATTAACCGACGTTATAATACTTGTAAATAGTACTAAAAAATAAGTTACACTTAATGCCTATTTAGATGGTTTAGTACATTAATGATAGTTAAGTAACTAATCAGTTGCCAAAGTGAACGGGGCTCAGAGACGCGCCTTTATATTAGTAGAAGCTGTTTTAGCTAATCTTGATCGAGTACTAATGGCGACGGTCACGGTAGGTTTTGAAACAAAATATAGTTTTGGTGTTAACAAATATACCTGCATAGTAATTTGTGGGTGTTAGATCTTAACATTTTCAAAGTAGTTATAGTTTATCAAATGGATACTAAATTTTCATACTCAAATACCACTAATAGTAATTAGTGAAGCAATGCCTTGTCACGCAATATCAGGTAAAGGGGGAAAACAGAAGAAAAATTGATTCTGATACATAAGTATGATACAATTTCAACAAAAACAGAAGGTGAATATGTAAATATATAAAGAAATAAAAAAAACACACCGATACGGTATTTATTTATAATAAATACCCGATATGACATTTTCAAAATTTATTTCATAAATAGATTTCGAAAATTTCAGGATTATTACATTCATCAGAATAATAATAGTCCATGTGGTTTTGGCATAGAATAGGCCTCCCTTTCCTTTCGCGTAGGTGTCGTAAGAGTCGACTAAGGAAGAGCAAGAGATGGGCAGCAGCGTCCTTCTTAAAATATCTCTAAAGCCTTACTGCGGTTATCAATCCGCCTGCTAAACATGACAACTATTGGGAAAACCCTCCAAGGGAGAGGCTTATGTTCAACAGTGGACAGTTAAAGGCTGATATGATGATACCGCTTCTGACTACTCCATCCATAATTATGGTCAAACTATATTAATAGAAATGTTTTGCTTAAAAAAATTGTACTCACAATGATTATCTCTAATGGGGTAGTTAGAGACATTGGTCAACTGTTTCCGTTATGGTCATTATAATGGAGAAAATGTTTATGATTTTAGATATATTAAATACTGACCTCTAGCTTCAATTAATACTGTATTTAATACGAAACACACACTGATGTACCTGAAATAAAAAGAAACGGAATTATTAATATTATTATTACTACAATAATCTTGATACCTATCCCTATTTAATATTTTTTAATATTTTTTTTATATACATATACCGCGATGCCTACAAATAATCAGACGACACTTATATTTAAATGCTGGCCATTTCGTAGGTACCTTATTTTTTAAATATATAATGCTGGCTGTTGCTAGTGACTTTGACCGCATAGTGCTGTATTTCCTCTTCAAGTTAGAATTTTGAAAATTCTTTCTTAGCAAATACTTGCATTATAAAGTATACGTATATTCCAACCTTCTTAACTGACTTAATACTTTTGACTGTATGTTGATAGTTTTTTTTTTTTTTTACAACACAGGGGGCAAACGAGCATGCGGCTCATCTGATGGTAAGTGACTACCGCCGCCCATGGTCACCCACAACACCTACGGCATTGCAGGTGTGCTGACGGCCTTTTAAAAAGGAATATGCTCTTTTCTTGAAGGTTATGTTGTCGTATCGGTTCGGAAATACTGCTGCTGGAAGTTGATTCCAAAGAGTGGTTGTGCGTGGGAGAAAGTGCCTTGAAAAACGCACGGTGGAGGACCGCCACTCGTCCAGATGGTCGGAATGAAATTTTAGTTTATGGCGGGTTGTACGATGGTGAAAATCTGCAGCAGGTATCAGTCCGAACAATTCTTCAGAGTTAGTGAGAAAACAATTTTATAATTATAAAAATGTGCTAAATTACGTTGTTTTTTTTTTAAATAAATTCACTGTTTAGAGGGGAGAAAGCAAACTGTTATTATTAATACCATTATATCATCATATATCGATCATTAATATTTAACTTACTCGTATAAATGGGATAGCAACAAATTTTCCCCAAAAATAGTGGAGAGAACAAAAACCCGAACCTATCCATCCATCAAGTTCGGGTCTAAACTAAAGAGTAAGCGAGTTAACCTTTCTGCGAAGGCTGACATTTGACACTTCCAATCCTAGGTGGAATGAAAAACGAAGTAAACGTACAGTCCACAGTCATATTGCCAACTATAGTTATATAGATTTGTGAATTTTAAGCGAATAATGTTTTAAGAGAATGCCCTAGAGATACTTTTATTTAAAATTTTGTAAAATTTTATTCTGTTTCACTTTTACCTGATTTATTATTATTTATTTATTTTTTTGACTTTACTATATTTTGTTACGATAAACTTTTTAAGGTAAGCGAGCTAAAGTGGCAATAGGCTGGTCATATAGCTCGAATAACCGCTAACCGATGCGGAAGAAAGGTTTTTCAGTGGCAATCCGTATGGGCAAACGCAGTGTAGGATGACACCCCACTAGATGGAGTGATGACCTCAAATGCATTGCAGGGCGTCAATTGATGCAGGTGGCTTAGGACCATTCCTTATGGCAGTCTATGGGGGAGGCTTATGTCTAGTAGCCGACGGATAATGACCGAAATGATGATGATGATATCTTTTTACATATAAATTACTCAATAAATTATAATATTTATTTCTTTGCACCTTTGCCACCTTACAAACAAATTAACAGAAATACGTTTATACATTTATCTACATATATAAATATTATAAAATGGAAAAATATGATTGTTTGTTTGTAATTGATAAACTCAAAAACTACTCAGCCAATTTTAAATATTCTTTCACCCATATTAAGCTACATTATCAGAGAGTAACATAGGCTATATATTATTTTCAAAAATTATAACTACCCATACAAAACCGGGTTTGATCACAAGTTTATTTATATAATAGCTCGTTCTTTTGCCTGTCTTAAAGGAATTTATTATATCAGTAGTCATAAATGGTAATGTTTTTTTTATTTATGTCTAAGTATTAATTTATTTATATGTTTTTGTACATTTACATTTATGTAGTATTATTATTATTTCACGAGTAAACTAACATAGTTACATATTATTTAGTATAATTACACAACAAACCCAAACAAAGCTCTAATTTTAAAGTATTGAAATTCAAGCTTTTGTTACACAATGGAACAGTAATCTGTATTCATTATTTCTTAAACAGCTAAACCGGTCAGGTATTTATTATAATACCTTACTTAATATACTTGTATGTAGGTCCAAGAGCTTCATTTTAAATCACATCATCGCTTTCCATCAGGTGAGATCGTAATCAGTCACGGGACCCATCAATAGTAAAAAAACTTGTGCCAGAGTTTTTTACCAGCTATTAACAGAAGTCAAAGATATTTTTTTTATATTTTGTTTATTACGTGTTCTTTGCACAAAAACCGAAGCAGGAAAGATCAGTGTATTTATTCTTGCTCCTTACAAAAATAATAATTCCAGTAATTAAGTTTGTGTTCCATTAATAATAACCGAGTTCAATTGTGTAAAAACAGTTATTTTGATTTAAAAACTAAACTAAACTACTACTAACTATTTTAATCAATCTGTGAGTATATCGTTTCAGAAACATAAAGAATTTTCTAAATCGAATTACAACATAACTCCGATATATGGGATAACAGACATAAAAAAAAACAACCAAATTAATTCTTTTTCAAGACAATTTAAAATAAAGAAACCGATACAAGATCCAATTAATTAAAAAATAATAAAAAAATTACAGCAGTAGATCGATCGATTCGAAAATTTTAAAATATCAATTGTTTTTAATTATTGTTTTTATAATCTAATAGGTATTTACGTGAACATACATCACTAATATTATACCATAAAATATTGTATGATTTAATAAATTACATAACAATATTTATTGATTAAATTTTAAGTACGTCAACAACAATCCACTTAATGTCTATAAATAGTGAATAATAAGGAATAATAAATATTTGCATAGAATATTATCGTATACTCTAAAATTATGTTTAATAAAATTATTATATGTCCAACACCTAAACACTCTCTATCAAAATTGCCATTTTTTATGGCAAAATACCAGTGACTTAGGAACCTTTATGAAATTCCTAAAAATAGACTAAATTTCAATTCAAAACACAAATAAATTACGTTATTAAGATTACGAATGACAGTAATGACTTTAATTTAGACTAAGCCTTTATAATACAATTATTAGATTAAATGATCCGATTCTTTAAGAAATAACGAAAAATAAGCTTGTTATTTTATAAAAAAAAAAACTATCTTAAGATCTTGAAAAATACCCACTTAGTGTCCGAGTCACAAGTCGACAAGTTAATTGCTCCTTTTTTCATCAGATTAACAGTTACAAATTTACCAGTTTGTTTTATATCGCTTTATTATATTTACATCGTTTTATTATCGCCTAGTTGTTTTTCAAATAAAATTACTTATTCATTTTTTAAGACACCAATCTTATGGATTAACTAATTAATAATATAATTAGTATAGCATCTATATAGTATTACTCTATCGGTTACAAAAAGAAATTATCGGAATGGATTCAGAAAGAACTAATATATTTATTTATTTAACTCTTTATTGCACCAAAGACGTAAAAATAAAATTCATTGTATACACAAAAAATAAAAAACAAAAACATACTAATTTTTGAAGCCTATAAATCGAAGCAATAAGACTTTACCATATATCCATTCAATTTGAACGTAACAGAATGGAATTCACACGGAAGACTTTTTTTGTTAGATTTCTCTTTTAATAAATAAAACAATAAAAATATAATGGAATTTTGAAAAAGTTTTTCAGAGAAAGAGGTTCTCGATTCGGTTGTATTTTTTAATCATTGGTTATCAATCGATTTGAATATTCTTTTTTTATTTAATATCCTAATAAAATAACTGGTTTTGAAATAAATAAATGAAGTCGATTTCTTTTATAAAACACAAAGTTAAAATATTATTATTAAAAAAACCGTAGTCTGGTCAGAACTGACGAAGATATCACGTATCATATACATGAAAAATACGAATTGAAAACCTTCTCCTTTTGAATTCGACAGAAAGTACCCATTATCACAAAGTTATTACATAACAACATTTGAGACCTCTCACCCTTCATCAGGGATTGGTAATGTCTCGGTTGCTATTGTTCCCATCCTACTAATTATATTAAGTTAGTGAATAGGTTACTGTAGGCAGGCACAATACGGTTAATTTTGTTTTGAACTCTATTGTACGGCGTAAACAATGTGAGGTGTTTTAGTCACTTAAACTTTTGAAGGAGTTGGGAAAATCAGATTCTTATCATTGCACGGTTCAAAAGGTGAGTAGGAATTCCACTTGAGGAGGTTATAGAAATTGAGTTTTAAGATAACAATGCTGCCTTTTTGTTCGCACAATTTTGAACTAATTCAAATTATTTGAATACTCGTAATAATGTTGCTTTGACGAACTCAATGGGGTAACAGTTGAATGATGACTAATGGTTGTAGGTTTAATCCTCGTACAGTGTTAGTATTGTATTTCTTATTATTTTTATTTGTATTTACGTAAGATATATGTGGGATTGGTATGAAACGGAACGCATGTTAAAAGTGAATGTTGTATGCATAAATTGGAATACGAGGAATGAGAAAGACTGATGTTGAGTGAAGAGAGGAACGGGAGGAGAAATATTAAGATGGACGACAAATGATGGAGTGTGTGTGTGCTCCTACGAATTATTTTTAAGATTTGGTTTTACAATTTTATAAAGGTTAAATCGCTTGTAAAGGGGGAATTTTATTTCTGACTTCTCGGATCTACATATATATTATTAAATATATTATTATAATATTATAGACATTTTCCAATATGATATAGATATATTATTGGAAAATTACTTATTAAAAAAAATGCACTTAAGCATTTATATCAGTTGTCATCTACGAGAATGTGAATGAATGAATAAGAAATAATAATTATATTAGTGAGACTTAAAACTATATTTTAATGACTTTTTTTGCATTATACATCCTCTTTCTAGTTCAGTACTTGATGTCGCTATTCAATGTACATATTATTAATAATTATAGATTGTTATTGTAAACTGGTGGTGACCGTCTTTAAAAAAG